GAAAATGAACGGTGTAGATAATATGTTGTAAAATGCACTATTTCTAAGACTTAAAATCTTTTTATTTTAAGTTCTACATTAAAACTACCTTTTCCAATGGATTTTTGAGGGGCATCCATAGTTCTACATTATAAAATACCATCCTTATATAAACTATTTCCTTTGATGTGAGGCTTTATTTGGTTTTCATAAAGCTTAGAGCTTATAGAAACTTCATCCACATGAATAATACCAATCTCTTATAAGGAAATGTAGCCTAAATCCATATTATGCTTGAAAGTAGGGTGAGGCTTGTATAAGGTGCCTACCTTAAAATGTAGTTCTAATGTCAAAAACCTTGCGATGGCTTGAAAAATCCATTGTCAACTTTAATTATGAATTTTATAGTTTTAAAAATGATACAGATTAAGCATATCTATAAATATTTGAAGATCTTGAAAATAGACAATTTAAATAAAGATGGATTATTTCTAGGACATCAAATTCTCTTTTACATCTATGTATTTTGATGTCGAGATGTTCAATTGGAAGATTTTCCAACTTTAGAACACTTTTTTCTATTATTGCAACGTTATATAAACATTTTCTTTAGTATTGCCTAAGAGTGCTATTGAATAGACATAAAGTTCCAAAAATAAATCACTTCGTGACTCACCCCAGGCCATCTAATTTGTCATCTAATAAGTGGGAATGATCATCACCTCCATCTACAAAAATAAGTTGTTTCTTTATAGATAATCCCTATTGTTAAAATGCACCTCAAACGCCCAAGTCCAAGGTTTAACATCCTAAACAATAATTGACCCATAGCACTATTAGGCATATTAAAATGCCCATTATTGAGAATGTGTGCAAAAAATGTGGTTAAACCGATGGAAAATATATCTAGGGGGCACATTCCTACATTTGCATCCCACACCCAAGGCCCCTTTGGGAGGGAGGCATAAACCATCTATTCCTAAGATGCAAATGTGGTCCCAAAAAAAAAAAAAAGTTTAAATATCTCCTTAAAAAAGTATCATTTTTAGTTTTTAAATTTAATTTTAACATATTAATGATCTCCGTGTTAGACATTATATATTCCTTAATTCATTAGTGCCAAAATCCATTTCAAAAATAGATTATTAATAGGGGGCACATTTCAACATATGAGTCCAAGGACTCATAGAAACGGTGTCCTAAACCAATGTCCTTATCCTCCATAAAGGGTTGGGGGAGTTTTTCTACCGTATTACCCGAGGGCCTTTGTAAATTGTAAGATAATATTGGATGTACGTCGTTGTAATCTTTTAAGACCTAAGGACATAAATATTATCCCCACCGACTCCAATTAATTGAAAAAAAGCTATGGTGATGATGATGGACATAAATATTATCTCCTTACAATCTACTGATGGACAAAAATCGATAGAGAGATCTACTACTTACGTCATGTTGTTGATCCCCTCTCTACCCTAAGAACAACAGTATTTTGCCTTCAAGTGTATAAAGGGATAGAATCGGACACTACAGGTTTAAATTGGTCAAGTGGGGCCAAGGCAAGTCCAACCAGACCGAATCAGACAAAAGTCCAACATCGAACCTGAGCATGACCTAGATCTAGTTAGGTTTTTATCAAATGGACCTAGACCTAGGTCATGTTAGATCTGGGTCAAAAAATAAAAAAAACATATAAAATTATAGAAAACAACATGCTGGATCATGTCAGGCCTAACCTTGCACCGTTCATCTCCTGGTTAGAAATGGACCCGCTTCTTAACTCAAACTTCCAAACCCAGACCTGAACCCCCAAGACTAGAAGTTAGACCCCAACACAAACCCAAGTCTGGTTGACCCATCGGATCTAGGTGTCGACAAGTCGGCCGGACTCAAGTCAACAAAGGATTCACCACCCTAAAGGATGCTTCAACTTTGTGTATGAGAGGATTCTTCCTCCTTTTCAATTTTCTACTGAGCATGGGGCTAACCTCAACTTCTACCAGATATGGATAATCTTGACCCATCCCCTCAATTTTATATCAGTTTTAATTAATTTTATCTATTTAATTTTTATATCTATTGTGTTTTGTCATTTCAGTTAATAATAGAGGCTATTTTGTTCCTATCCTCTACTGTATTATCCTATCGACCATCAATTCACCATAAAAGACCGAAAGAGACAAAAAAAAAAAAATTTATTCCATATAATTTTTTCCATAATTTATTACAATTTTTACGTAGTTTGTCGGAAGAGGGTAAAGTAGTCATTTTGGGAATCTTGTATCCGACAAGCATTCGTGCGGCCGATTCTGCCACACCAACCGCTAAATCTGGCGGTGCCTCCAAATACAGTGACAAATCTGCAAGATGAAATCTCAGCCCTTCGATCTCACCCATAACCATAGTTAATAGGAGGCCCGTCGGTGACCTATTCCAAGTAACCATGGTTAATTTATAAGGACCATGTTTTGACTCTGGCCCAATCGTACGTTACTACACTGCAGATACCAATTCTTTCATGAAATAAATGAAGCCCATAAATGAAGCCAATAGATGGTATTATACTATCTATTTACTACCAAGGGTAAAATCTTATATGAAAGTATAAAACGACATTATTTATTTTGGTATAAGGTGGTCACATTAATTTTAACCATTGGATGTGAAATTGGGTTATGATAATTATTCCATTGATCAAATTCGAACTTTAAAATAAATTTTCTTTAAGTATGTGATGCATTTAGGCTATCAAATTTCACATCAAATGGTTGTAAGAACTTGTGACCACATCATATCAAAAACAAAGGGTCTCACTCTATATAATTTTAAATTTTATTTAGGATTAATTTTAAGTTCTTAAATTTTGAAAATATAACAGCTTTAACCTATAGATTAATCTCAATAAAAAAATTCTAATTGAACCTTCTAAACACTTGGAAAAAAGATTGTCTTAAAATTGAATAAAAGAGAGTGAGGTCGAAGTGTTAGAAAAATCAAATGTCAATTTTGTTTTTAAGAATAATCATCTAGTGATTTTTTGTACTTCCCAAAATTTCGGATTGAAAATAATCTCCCAAGTAAATCATTTAACCGAGGGAGTAGAATTGAACAAGGCTCTTGAGAGAGCAAAGTATACGTACTCATAAATGGAATGAAGCCGTTGAGAGAATTGTGCCATAACTTCTTCTTTTTTTAAATGTTAATTGTGTCAAAAGATTTTATGCTCCCTAACATGAGGATACGATCTATTTACTCCCTCCTGTAAAATTCAATAACGGAGCATTTTTTTTTAAGACCTCAAATCTCGGGGTTATAACCTCTTCAACCCATAGACTAATGTCAATAAAAAAATAAATTTCCGAATTGCCCTCTTAATGCACTTGAAAAAATAATGTCTTAAGAGATATCTTCCAATTTTTTGAGGGTGAGCTCTGAAAAACTTAAAAAAATTTACTTCTCAAAATAATCTAGTAATTCTAAGATGGCTCCCAGAATTTAGAATTTCAGATTCAACCCTCTCAAGTAAGTCATCTGCCCAAGGGTAGTGGTATATATGCTCCTGCAGAAGCATAGTAGATGCACTCACGAATCAATGAAATTATGAAAAGTTTATATGGGATTGTAACCTACAATGTTATTTATTTCAAATAAAAAATATATCATAATCATCTTTAGCCGTTGGATGTAAAATTAAATAGTTGAAGATCCTTTATTTTAAATATTTGTTAGAATAATAACTCTAGAGGTCACAGTGTACGTTGTGGAGCTTGCCGACCATCAATTTCCTTTCTCAATCATTTTGAAAGGGTGTTAAGCAAGTTATATAACGGCTGTGACAAAGTAAAAAAACGACTGTTAAACAACATGTTTTATGTCATAATGGAAAAATTATCTAAATAAACCTAAGAGATGGATCATTTAAATTTTATTTTTTTATTTAATTTTAAAATATCCAACAAAATGCACATGATCATGAATTGGAATAATTGAAAACATGTAATGTGTTAGAATGATTGATAAGTCAGACAAATTTTGGTAAATTTCCCTTGTAGCCATTAAAACAACCATTTTTTGAACTTTAGGATGGCCAAAAATCTTTCATGAATTTCTCTTGAAATTTCTACAGATCCAAAAAGATTTATTGGATGATGATCGACTGAAATATTTTGATGGAGTTTTGGTATCAATTGAATTGAAATATTTTGATTGAATATTGGTCTTGTATGAATTGAAATTCATACATCTTGACCTGATGATCAATTGAAATATTTTATAACATTGTAACACTCTTTTCTATTGGATTTTTTAGATGCTCTTTACTTCTATAGTTCCATACTTCTATAGTGTAAGGTTGCAATTTATATAAACCTTTTCCTATATTAATTGATGTCTCTTTGCTAATTTCTAGGTTGCTTATGGAAACATATGATTATTCATATGCTTTTCACTTTTCGTGAATAGCCGGGACATTGAGAAATATCTATAAAAGTATTTTAGGAATTGATCTAATTTCCCAAACAAATATCAATGCGATATATTTACTATTCTACATCTTAAATTTATGCAAATATGTGGTGCAAAATTGAGCAATCGGACTGTATAATTTATTTTCATAAAGTTCAAAAAAAAAATTTCAAGACCTCAATCAATGGCACCATCTTTCACAGTCAATTCCACTAGTTTTTTGAAGGTGTTGGTGGGGCGGTGCTCGTAAAAACGAAACCCACAACGTGGTGATTAGGGTGTGTGCGTGCTATTGTGATCTTATGGCAAAAATGAATAATCCTATATTATTTACAGCCCCGTGATATTGAAGAGGTTTATTCTCACTAGAACATTGGCATTTTAACAATATTCTTTACAGTCCCTGTGAACTTTTATTCCCAATTAAATTATTTTTTGTTATTGAAAAAATAAATAAAGAAGATGACAAACTTTGTACTTCAAAATTGAGAGGTCTCAATTTTTTAATGGTCAAAAGTATTAATGAAGACCTTTAAAATTCGGCTCGCCCACTATTATAGTTGTATAAATACATGCCTTCATCCTGCTCCTACTTCATTCCGCGCCATTTCCTCTCTCTAAAAATCATATTCTCTCTGGATTTCGCTTTCTAAGTTTTCTCGTAATCTTATCTTTCTTTTCCTCTGAAATCTCTCTGGATTTTTTCTCTCTAATTCTCTCTGAATTTTTTCCCTCTAATTCTCCCCGAATTTTATCTTTCTGATTCTCTCTCTCCGAATTGAGAGACTCTAATTGGCCCCTTTGAACCAGAAGATTCACATTTTTTGCTTCATTCAAAGCTTAAAGGACAGTTAATTTCGACATTTTTTGAATAATTATCGTCCTCTTTTCCGCCATTTTAGCAGCGAATAAAAAGCTCGAAGAAAACGAAGGTTTTAATTCCTCGTCTTGAAGAAAACATGGAGCCGAGCAGAGAAGCCGATAAGCTCAGCTACGAAATCTTCTCTTTCTTAGAAGCCGAGTTCCTCTTCGGCTCCAGTCTATGGCTCCAAGCCGATGAGAAAACCCAAAAAATCGGCGAGGAGAGCCCCAAACTCGCCTCCGCACCACGTGGCAAGACCTGCATCCTCTCAATCGACGGTGGTGGCAAACGAGGCGTCATCGCTGCGAAAGCCCTGGCCGCCCTCGAATCGGAGATCCGACGAAAAAGCGGCGACCCGAACGCGAGACTGGCCGATTATTTCGACCTGGCAGCTGGCTCGGGAATCGGCGGTATTTTCGTTTCAATGCTGTTCACCGACGGAAAAGACGACGGGAAACCGCTTTTCCAGGTGGATGACACGTGGCGTCTCCTCATTGGCCAGGGCAAGCAGCTCTTCACCGGGAAACGAACATTTTTCCAGAGAATAATGGCTGGAAAACATTCTCCAGAAGCTGTTTTCCGGCGTCTATTCGCCGGCCGGACAATAAAAGACGCCGTTAAACCGATTTTGATACCCTGTTATGATCTGAGCACCGCTTCACCTTTCGTTTTCTCCCGGGCTGACGCTCGGGAATCCGACGGCTACGATTTCCAGCTGAGCGACATCTGCCGCGCCACGTCTGCAGAGACGGCAGTTTTCCGACCGGTTTCCCTCCATTCAGTTGACAGAAGCACGGAGTGCTTGGCGGTTGGCGGTGGCCTTGCGATCAACAATCCCACGGCTGTGGCTATTACGCACGTACTGAATAACAAGAAGGACTTCCCCTTTGTACGTGGGGTCGATGACTTGCTGGTGCTCTCTATTGGTGCCGGAGACGTGGGCTTGGGCGCCGGAAAAATGTCAAATTGCCGGAATCTGAAGCGGTGGACAAAAAGTTTAGTTAAGATTGCCGGGGATGGCTTGTCTGATGTGGTAATTTCTCATGTCCGACATAAGTTCAGGCTTTTACATTATTATACTTATTTGAATTATTGAACATCTTTAATCATAGTTTTTGTCTAGAGATTAACTACAAATAGACCCTGAGGTCACAGTTATTTTTATCTGTAATTTCAAGTAGTTATAAGAGTGCTTTTTGAATAAGCACAAAGTTCAAAAAAAAAAAAATTAAATATATATATATATATATATATCGCGGCTCATCTCTCGAGTCATCCAAATAAAAATAATTGTGACCTCATTAAACCTCCATTGATAAATGCGCAGGGGAATTGAAATAGCCCTAATGTAACTAACTAAATTGCACCTAGGCTCTATTTTGATGGTTTTCCTTTATATTTTTGGATAAAGAGGCTTTTGTAAGAGAAATTACACTATTTATTTACCCAAAAAAATTACTTTATTTTTGCTTCTTGGTAGTTGCGTTGTGGGGTTCGAGCCAGTTGTCAGCCTTTATTTATTTCTTGAGTTAGTTACGGGGTACAGAAGTTGAAGTGAAATTTTTTCTTAGTACAGTGAGCTTCAATGATTCTGTTATTGAAATTTGAAAGTCTTTTTTCTTTGCTAATTTTTGCAATTTATTTACGCATCTAACTATCTATTTTTATTTTTATTTCTTCAGGTGGATCAGGCAGTTTCCATGGCCTTTGGCAATTGCAGGAGCAGTAACTATCTCCGCATACAAGTACATTAACCTGCCATTCTGTTTAAACTTAATGTTAATTCTCTTGGATTTTCATTCTCGAATTATTTTACTGAAAAGGTCAATCATCCCTAGGCGTTAGATACGACAGTGTAGCTGAAAAGGTCACGATCATCCCTAGACATTAGATATGACAGAGTGTATACCTTGTACATTATTTGCACAAATTTAATAGCCCTTCATATGATTTGATGTCCAACAGCTTTGCATTGTTTGGGACCTTTGTGCAATAAAAATGATATCTCATCGTAGAAATCCATTTAGTTATTTTTTCTGACAAAATATATTGTCAAATGGGGAGGTAGAATTCATTCACTCAAAATGAGGAAACCCATATCTAAGAGTATTTTAGGAGTGGTAGTACCCCATGCCTAGTTACCTTGTGGTTTCCCCCCTGACCCATTAAAAAAAGCTTACTCCCTAATTTATCTGAGAAAACAGGTAGGGCCCTCATCTAATTTTTCAGTAATAGAGAAGTGCTTAAAAGCTCAAAATCCACCATTTTTTTTTAAAATACTCATCAAATGAAAGTGGTTCCCATATTAAGAACTCCTTTGCGCGCTATAGAATAAGTATGTTGTCTGCCACCATAGGAGCACAGTTATGACTATTAGTATTCTTTATTTTTAATTTTACATAAAATCATGTTTTATTCGAGAAATTTAAAATAATCTCATATATTTCATATTTGGATGGGGTTTCTATGAGTCGGCCTACTTATACTATACATATGGGGGCCCCCTCTTAAACCATCTTAGAAATGGATTTTAATCTAAAATTTTAGGAATTTGTGATCTAGGTGAAGATGATCATGAACAAGAAATAAAAATAAAAATTTTGATATTTAAAATGTGATTTCTTTAAAAAAAAATTCCACACCATATAAATCTTATGAGTTTTTTATGACGGCAGGGTCAATGGGCTCTTGCACGTGCTGAGTCATGAAGGACTTTCCCTTCATAATTTACATTCAAGGAGCATAGATTGTATGCATTGGATTAAACTCAAATTTGATATATGTCCATCTTTTTCACCATCACATTTTATAAAAAAATATTTTTAAAAATAATAGGAATAAATTACCAAAATACCTTTACAATGTTTAGATTTCTTATTGTACTTCATTGCTCTATCAATCTATTCTATTCATAACTGCAATCAAAGTATAATTTACACATAATTTGGTCCTATAATCTTGCAGGCCAATGGCTTGAGTCACTGTGACATAGAAGACAATGGAGGTCCAAACAATGTGAAAAAGCTGCTGGACATTGCAGAGCAAACATTGATGCAAAAGAATGTTGAATCCAGGCTTTTCCATAACAAAGAAATAACAGGAAAATCAAATGCTGAGAAGCTTGAGTGGTTTGCTGGTGAATTGATCAAGGAACAAGAGAGTAGAAAGAGGAGGACCAGTCCTGTAGTCTCAATCAAGCAAGCAACACCAAGACCATCAAGGTCATAAGCCATTTTTACTTTTTGCAATCTCTCTCTCTCTCTCTCTCTCTCTCTCTCTCTCTCTCTGTATTTTACATTGTGCAATATCTCTCTATAGAAATTGCCGCTTGAGACGAAAGCCCCGTCCAAGCTGAGCTGATTATGAAACGAATGTACATCGTGTACGTAAATGCATTTGTATGTTTTTTTTTTTTTGGTACTTTTTAAGTAATCAATGGAAAGTCTTCCTTTTTCTCATAGGGAAAAGATTTCTAGATTAAGCATTCAATGCTTGCTTTCCTCAAACTCTCTTCTCCTACCTTTTAAGAACTGGGAAGTCTATCAATTTGCTTCCATTTTGTGAAATGTTAAATAAAACCCCTAACTAGATACAACAACAATGAACAAGATCAAACACAAAGTAAAACAGATCGAAAAGAAAAACATGTAAGAATACTACTCTCACTCAAAAATGCATCATCACTATCATCATCATCTGAACCCTATTCCAACTATTGGGGGTCAACTATTCATGGTAGGAATGTGGCAGAAAATTTCTACTGACTGCCAATCTAACATAACCCTCCTTTCTCATCTAAGGTTAGAACCGGCAATAGCATATTTGACTCAAAAACACGTAACATTATATCTTGTCTTAAACTTTACCTCAAAGAAACATGTCCATATGCCCAAAATACATCTATAAATCCTCCAAATTTTCAATTTGAAAGCTCTTATAGGTCAATATAGGACATAAAATAAGGCAAACCATAGAAATCAAGACATAGTTGCACACAACATTATCCATAAAAATTTAAATCTAATTAACCAATTTCCCTCCAATTCATTTAAAAATGACCATATAAATCGAAGATCTAATTAACCTATTTACTCTAAACACATATTTTCCCAAGTTAATGATAAGTAAATGATGGAAATCTGAAGTAGAATATTATGCTCCAAATCAATATGTAGCCATCTGGTGTAGTAGAACAACACAGGTAACACTAACTCATGATCGACATGAGAATTCACCACCTTTCCATTAATATACGACCACACAAACTAGGGTAGAAAGTGAATCTTGACTCATGAACCCATTATCATAAATTATTGAGAGATACCAAACCCAATCCAATTACCTTGAACAAGAAAAGCCTTTATGCTTCTACTCCTACCACAAATTTCTCTTGTTCATCATCATCATCATCATCATCATCATCATAGTTTTTCTCAATTAATTAGGGTCGGCTATACGAATCATAGTCTACCATTATGCTCTATTAAGGATCATACCTTCAGTGAGGCCATAAGTCTTTATATTTTTTCTCACTACTTCCAACCATATGTCTTTTTAAGCCTACCTCTTGTCCTGTTTTAGCCTTCCACTTTAACTAACTCGCACCTCCTGACAAGTTTCCTTTGTTCTTAAATAAAATACATTTGTTTTATACAAAGAAATGACCATTGTACCAAACTAAGGTGGGAGTATTGATTCATAAGCACATTAATAATAAATTACTGTGAGATGCCAAACCCCACGCAACTTCTCAGGGCAAGAAAAGCCTTCATATTTATACATAATGCATGTTTTTCTTATGCTACAAATCCTACTTGTTCTTGAGCAAAATAAATTGAGCACTAGAACATACTCAAGAGCACAGGATGCACATACTCCCTCGAGCAAATAGCTACTTTGAATTATTTTTTAGATCTGAGATTTTGGGATCCACTTCACAATCACCAAGTCACCATATTAATATTCATTAAAAAAAAAAAAAAACCAGATTTTGAATTCCTAAGCACTTAGATCTCGCCGTTCAAAGATCAGACCATCTCTATTCAATCACAAGATGTTGGTTTTCCAGGCAATATAGCGTGCATATGAGTTTTCTTTTTTTCCAAGGCTGGTAGCAAGGTTAAGGACATTACATACATGAATCGGGGCCCTAAAAATGTCCCAAGATTAGGGTTATACAACCCAAGAGAATGAACGAATGATATGCTACGATACGCTCCCTCAGGTGCATATAATCTTTTAGCAAATACATTTGCCTAGTTTTTATAAAGAGTGACCAATGTAACCTTAGCCATAAACATTTGTTTATAATATGGATTACTAAATTCTGTATGTTATGCTCCCTTGGGGTAGACCACCGTCTATTATGGATGAATGGTAGAGATGGCAACTAGAAGTACAATGGCCCCTGCAATTGAATCCCAACAGTCCATCCACAATGAATAAGCTGAACACATTGTGGGGGTGGGGAGCATATAACTTTTCCCATTATCTTAATTATAAAAAGAAAGAAAATTTCCGTCTTTAATTTGGTTACCAAAAAATTTTTACTTACATAGAATGCTTGTTATATATAATAAAGTGCTTGACGAATAGTGTCAAACATCCTATACAGGATTTAAAAAGTCACTGGTCCGACTCGTGACTTACCCAAGTTGGGTCGAATCGGAAGCCAAGTGATTCCCGTCAGAAAAACCCAAAAGTCATCTCGGGTTGTACTCACCAAAATTAGACTAGGGTGACTAGGGCTTATGCCCTTGGCAAATTGACGTAGAGATTTGATGATGAAACAAAAAATTAAACAGATTCCAAGCAAAGCATAAGCACCAATTGAAGGGAGCCAGGTTTCCTCCTCAAAACTCCAATTTAGGACCAAAAGTTTCCAATTGGTTAAGCAGAAGATGATTGAAGTGCATGTGTTGGCTCTTCCTAACTTTGATAAAGTTTCCAAACTAGATGGTGACACTTCACATGTCGGGATTGGTGCAATGCTAAGTCAAGAAAGGAGTCCAATTGCCTTCTCTAGTGAGAAGGCAAACGACTTCGATATTCTATTGTTTGGGCCTTTGGGTTGATCTTAAGCTGAATGCGAGAATGAATGCATAAAACAATTCAAAGACATCTTTAAAACAACACTCTAACAAGGTATATCCATGTACATAGCTTTATTTTATTTCTAGGTCAATAAGTTCCAAGGTACCCGTAGACACCTTGTTGATTACATTCACCATCTCATACAATGGAGGTGTGGAAAACCTCTATTTGATCGATTACATATGGATTCACCAAGAAGTATTGTCTTCCTTAATATATAAAGTGTTTTCTCTTCTACCATCAACTACTCGTTTGTACTTCTCTGCTCTCGCTTGCTTGCCTCTCCTTCCTCTTCTCAGATATGTATACTCTTTTTATAGGCATTGAGCATGTCTGGTAATTGCAGTAGTGGTCTATGTGTAAGTTTGTTGTGCGACACGTGGGCCCTACACAATCATCACATTCTAGGGTGAATTCTAGTATGCTTATCCCATCTCGAACGTCTGTCACGTCATACCTTCAATAAAATGTTCTAGAAATGAATGCTTTTTTTCGGAGTGACTTGAGAAAGATGTCGACGTTAGGCCCACCTAGAGTTTAAGTGCTTGTAGTCCCCTATTATCAAAGCTTATTATGGCTTGTACAGTGTTTCGAAAAGCGTTAGGCGGGTCTTAGACGACCTGGGGGGTCCAGGCCGCCCAATGCCTAGGCGGGCACCCAGAACCTGGAGGGCCCAGTTGAATCCAAAAAGAATTCTACAATCTCTAACAGTATATATATTGTATAAAATATAAGAATTAGGTATTTATGGCACATCAAAATTCAAAGTATATTACATATTAGCACACACTCCATAAGCATAACCATAAGTCGGTCCATATCCAATTAAAACTTAAAATTTACCAACCAAATTACCAAACCAAAGTTACCAAATACCAAACCATTGGAACTGCAAATCCACTATCTGACTATCCACAATACACAACCAAGACAAAGAAAACAAAAATGAAAGTAATACTTGAAGACTCAAAAGAATCTTCAATCAATGTTCAAAGTTTAATCATTATTCATCATCCATCATCAGAAAAAGTAGGGCAATTGCATTTGCATCATATTCTTCGGAGTTGTCACCCTCATCAACATATTGGTTGTCCTCCTCCGTCTCTTCTGAATCTGCATCTTCTTCCTCTTCCTCCACCCTCGTCCTCTGTGCAGAAGATCTAGTGGCCCTAAGAGGGTCCGCTAATGTCCCTGAAGCATCCATGACCATGCTCCATGTCAATCCGTCATGCTCCTCGACCTCAGCATCATCAACTAACCACTTCATAGCATTGTCCATATTATTTGATCTAATGGGATCTCTCTTATCTCTCTTAGCAAACATGTCTTTCAATAATCGATTATATTTGACATAGACTATGTCATTGAGCTCCTTTGATTCAAGCATGTTCCTTTTCTTTGTATGAATCTAACAAAATCAAATTAAACTAATTAAAATATATGGTTCATGTATTATTAATACAATTATACAAATTACCCTTATAGCCTTACCCCTTCAAAAGTACTCCAATTGCACTCACAGCCGGATGGGGAAGTGGTTAAGTTTAAGATTTAAATAGCTAACTTTTGTAAATTTGGAGAACTACACCCATGTTAGCTCCACCAATTGGCTGCAAAGATATAAAATAAAATCATAAATAACTAATAGAATTATAAAAATGAAACTTGATTACCTGAATTTGATGAACTTAAGAATACTATTACTACCTCGATCAATTTTGGTCATTTGCCTCATTGCCATTGGACTCCCAAAAGACTTTAATGAGCACTTGTAATTTATCAGCTCATCAGCACATATAATATCCTGGATATCGGGATCAGGGACTAGCATATCTACACACTTATTAAATCTAGTCATAATTGGGTCATTTGTATGTATAACCTTGTCAACATAAAAAAATGTTAGGTTCAAATAATAACCAGCTGCATGCAATGACCGATGTAATTGGATATCCTACTTCTCATCAATAATCTTCCAAACAAGCTTGTAGTGGTTCTCATCATCATCAAAATTTTGGGTTATCTCTCTTTTGCATTTCTCCATAGCTTCATATATGTAGCCCATAGAAGCCTTGTCACTATCAACTATGCGAAGGACTTTGACAAGAGGAAAAAATACCTTAAGAGTACCTTTCACCCCTCGCCAAAAAGCCTTAAAAAGGATAATATCTCTCACCTTCTTCCCAACCTAATCCTTGGACCACTTGCATGCTCTCCAGTCATCCGAAGTAAACATCTACGTCAACTTCACTCTCCTCAAATGTATTCTATCTAGGCATAAGTACCAGATCGCAAATCTCGTGAACCCAGGCCTTACAATCTCTTTCTTCTTTGTAAATCTATGCATCATGCTGAGGGTGAGATG